TATATTCCTAAATAAATAAATTTAATGTTTCAATGCTTTCAATGTTTCCTGTAAGCCTATTTTTTAATGCAGTTTTTAGAGAAGGTTTTTTACCACGTTGAGTAAGTTCTTTCTACTTGACGACTTTTATAGCCTTTTTTCTGTAACATGTATTTCCATTTCAGTGTCCTGAGGATGGAATAAATAAATTCCGAAAGATTGACCATTAACAAAGTGTATTAATTCTAGTCCAAACCCTTCCGACTGCAACCTCACTAGTTCCTATATTTTCTTTCTCACTAGTCAGTCGATACTACTCATAGATACTACTGTCTGCCTAAATAAATATATGAAGGAATACATACAATATGATCGAAAAAACGGCGTCAGCGATCATTTTATATATAAAATTATATGGGGAATGTCAAAGATGTTCATTTCCCAGCCAACTGGACGCTGTTTTTTCATACGTTAGTCCTTGACTTATTATTTTATTTACAAACCTACCTCATACTTGTATTAATAGTAAAGTGGATATCAACAGAAGGAACTTTAATTACAGATCAAATCAAATGTATACATATGTATTTATAACACAATTGTTAGGTGACATTGAACATAATACATCTTCAATTTAAATGTCTGTGAAACAGTCATAATTGGCAAAACTTTGCTGATGACATTAAAACTTTGAAAAGCTAAAATAAAAGTTTGAAAAGCTAAAATAAAAGTAAAAAGTTACGAGATACACAACACCAATCAAACAAGATAAGTGCAATGTTTATATTATATAAAATCCTGATTAATTTTCGTCATTCATTTGCTGTAATTTGTCATAAAACCACTACTAGTTTAAAAGTTTTTAATGTTTATTATTAGTATCACAATGAACTGCACGTAAACATGTCCATTCCAAGTGTTTTCATGAAAAATTATGAAACTTTAAACTGCATCAGCAAAATTATTAATAAATCACTAACACACTCACATCATAAACTATTTAATTCACATTTCTCATCAAGGAACAATTACTGTTTACATCAAATCAAAGGTTGAACTGGTGATACGTTTGTTGCTGGAACTTCTATATTTTTTGTACACCAGTTGAAGGAAACATTTACTTTAGCAGCTTATATTTTTCTTCGGCCGTGTATGCACTAAATAGAACCCCATAATAAAACATTTTTATAATAACAACTTAGGAAAAGAATATCTAAAACCGGCATCTGATATAACCTAACTAACTTTTCAAACTCAAATTTAAAGTATTGTATTCACAATTTTACCCACGCACATTGCTCAGTTCGAAAAAAACACGTTTCTAAAAGCTAACTCTGGTAAAATTCTTAGTATCCCTATCAAGTGTATTTTTAGTATCCCTATCATCACAAGCGCCCCTAACGGCGATCTTCGAACTTCATTTAGATCATGAAATCTGGGCCCAAAATTTTTGCGTTCGATTCGCCTCCTCCTTTTAGACTCCATAGACTTGATTAAGGTTTGCAGAGCTTCAGCATTTGCCATAAAATAGCGAGCAATTTGTTACAAAACCATATAAATTATATATCACTGTAATCACAAAACTTCAATCTATTTCCGTATTGTAACGGAATTTTAAATTATGTCTTTATTTTCGAAAAAAATTAGTCCAAACATAAGGCATATTTTGTTGATGATTAACCATCAAAATCTTAAAAATAAATAAGTTGTTTAAAAATGTGCTACAATACGGATGTAGTATAATCCTTTATCTTTAATTTCCTTCTTCATTTGTGTAAAAATACCTAGCCAGTTTTACATAAAACGTTAAATGCCGAACGCTTATTTTTCTACTTTTCGGACTAGTGAAATGGACTCTTAAGGCGTCTTATTACACATATACCGACATACCATAACTAAACCATAGTTCCTGATGTTGAAAAGAAATAAACAAGTAAACGGAAAACATATCTAACAGGTCAGCTGATCATGGCGTCTAGCACGATTATGTAATTATTCTCGATTCAAGCAGTCATTGTAGCAATAAGCAATAAATTTTTTGAGTCATACTTTATAATGCTGCTGTCGAACCCAAAACTGATGCAAACTCAAACGAACCCAAAACTTACAATTTGTAAAAATCTAATCACTTGGCTACCATACTCCGTGTCGTATGTAGTGAACAACCCTGTATAAACTGCCCGTCAAATTAAATACCACAGCGATTTTATTACTGCAATGAAAAAATGCTGTTCGTTTGATCGTGTTATTTTTTTAATAAAAAGTATATTTGAATACATCGGTGTCCCAAAAATTAGAAGAAATAAGTTTTTAAAAAGTTTCTCCTAATTATAAAATAAGTAAATTACACGAAATTTGGTGATTTTTCACAAGATTTGGATTTTTTGTGAAGTTGAAAGAATATGAAGGTTTTTTGAGGCTCAGTTGAAGAAATTCGCTAGAAATTTTTTGGCAACACTGCCTGCAGTAGTAATATTAAAGGTTTATTCATACATTCCGATTACCGTACCGTGACACTCTCGTTCAGTTAACATCAATGACGGATATTCAAACATATTATGCAAGAATTTTATTATTCTTCGATTAAGTTTGTTATAGTGGTTGTCTCCGATATTTTGCGATATTAAGTAGAGAAAAATAACCAAATACGGAATAGTATCCCTAAAATGAAATACCGCTATTTCTCGGAAACGAATACGCCTCTAATCGCAAAAGACAGTGATTTGTGATTTTTAATCTCTTTCCATCATTGTACTCACGTGCAGGTTTTGCCTTGTCATTCAAACAGGCTTTATGGACACGGTGAGAGTGTTTTCTTTCAGCCCTATGAGAAAAGTTTTTAAGGTACGCAGAAAGTATGTCTTCATACGTGATTACTAAAATATTGTATATTATGACAATGCATTGATTACGTTATGATTGTTTGATTGTTTGATTGTTATAGTGGTCTTTTCTTGTCTGAATATGTGTTTAATAAAAAAAATTGATATACGTTTTGATTAGTTTGAAGTGTTTGTTTTATAGTGGTCCATATTTAGATGCCTTTATGTCCAACTTGTTTTTGAGAAAATTTTATACTTTTAATTAATATATGTAACAAAAAACAGTTATTAAGTTATGTGTAACTGTATGACTGATAATAACTAAGAACAAAAATTTCTGTTTCACAATACCTTTTTTTATACATATAACATAAAAACTTTTTTCCTCTATACCCTTTTGCCTTTGTGAGCACTACTAAGATTCGTACTGCATACGTTCCAAATGACATCAGAATTGGATTAACTTTTTTATAGAATAAAATTCTTTTAAATTTCGTTTGTAGAAAACTGTTTTCTTTTAAATTTATCGCCCTCTGTTATGTAGTAGTGAAACTACCGCATCAAAATATCTGATTTGGAGACAGGCTTTAAAAGCCTGTCTCCTTTTGAGACCTACGATTTTTTACATGTAACGAGGCTTCTGTTGCGTAGCTAGATATTCTGTGCTTCCATACATTTTTTTGGCGGACGGACTGAAGCGTATCGGAAAAAGCGTTGCCAAGTTCTTACATTTGTACCAGCTCTGGTAAAATTTTGCTGATATTTATTCATTCTTTCACCTCTTAATTTAATCTATTACCTTTTTCAAAAGATGCAAATTTTTAAAATAAAACTTTCATAATGATATAAATTGTACAATAAAAAGTATGGAACTGTTACGGAAAGGAAGTATAGCGTCAATACAATAAAAAATACGGAACGGATATGGAATGGATATGGAATGGAAACGGAAGGTATAGTGAGAATAAACCAATTTATCCGTTGCGTATACGAGTACAATTAGCATAAGCTAAGTCTGCCCAACGAGTCAGGGACAGTCAGGGAAGACTTCCACAGATGACATTCAAAATATGACAGAAAACATAATGTACTTGTGTGAATAGGCCTTTACCTTTGTTGTAAATAATTAAAATATTAGATTCAATAGACGTGGGTATTATAATTTTATGTGCACATACGCTATTATACTCTGAGTGTGTGAATTTAAAGTTGAAGGCAGCGCAGCGGTGAAAAAAATCTATATACAGGGAGAAAAAAAATCGCCAAAAAGCCTCGCGTAATATATGAATGCCCCCTTATACCTATATAGACAATAATAGTTTATACCGGGTGCGTCCAAAAGTGGCTCACCATTATAACTTTTTATTTTTTCAGATTAAAGAACGAGATTTGGTATGTTAGTAAATGACATATATTAGGATTGATTGACGTGTTTCACTGGAAATTACTACAACTTTTGAATTGAACGATATTGTCGGTATTTTTTACTTTATTCGATCGAAAATGACATTCTGACCTTTGACATTTTCGCACATGCCGTTCATAACATATATATAGAAAATATATAGAAAATATATAGAAAATGACATCCTGAATAGAATGACATCATATGTCAACTTTTGACATTTTCGAATAAGGTTTATTTGAAATTGTAACATGCGGTTCATAACGAAAATTTGACTCGCAATACCAAGTGTGTGGTACCAAATTATTCATAAAAAAATATTTTTTCCAAATATGCTAATGAACTACCCTTGTTCCATTTGAAAAAATTGAGATATGATTAAAAATACGATTTAGGCATTATTTAACCGGCCAGGACAATATACCATCAAATCTATTTTTCCAAGGCTCCTTGATTAAAAATTAGTGGTTTTAACACGACCATGGCACTCTAGATTGAAATTTAAAAAACGATTTTTTTAAGCAAAAATGTAAAATGTAGACATATACGTCACTCTATTCAGAGTGTCATTTGTAAATATAAAATAAAGTAAAAAATACTGAGGGTGCCACTTAAAAATCAAAAATTGTAGTCATTTCCGGTAAAACAGGAGAAATGACAACTGAATACGTCAATCAATCTTAATTTATGTCATATACCAACATACCAAATCTCGTTTTTTATCTGAAAAATAAAAAAGTTATAGGGATAAGCCACTTTCAAGACACACCCGGTATATAATACCAAACACTGACCTGATATTTTTTGATACTATCCATTTGTTCCCTGGTTGGTTCCATCACTTTATTGATCGTCGTATTAGAAGCGTAGGGTACTGCATTTATGTTATTATTATTCACTATTCGCGCAGGTAACTGGGGTGGTGCTGTCTTATTTCCTAATCGAGCATCAGGTTCGATTTTTAAGTTATCTCGAGAAGGTGGTACTGGTTTCGGTGGTACTTGAGGCGTTGCTTGTGAGGCCGGGACATGGTTATGCTGGGCATTGTACGAACCATTCATAGAAGGCTGAAAAAGTACCAAAATATAATCAAGATTGTTTGAAAAAATTATAAAAAATGTTTAGAATTTTTTCCAAAGCAGGCCTACATACATACAAAATATACAGTAGGGTGGGTCAAAAAAATCGACTATTTTGTTTTCGCTTTATACTCTTAAAAAAGATTGTAGACACCCCAAAAAATTATCTCCAAGTATATGAGCTCTTAATTTTAATAGGATTTATTAATCAAAAACTGTTAAAATTATTGCGCATTGAAGTTTGACTATGAATATCTTTTAAACGGTTAATTTAATCACAGATTATAAACTCAACAAAATGTCAAAAGCATTGTTTTTCACGGTTCCAATTTTCGGAGTCGCGCACTAGTTAGGTTACTAGTTTGCGCACATAGCACGCCCACTTATGGTCTCTAAAATTGTGCACAGCGCCTGACCGGCCCAGTTATTACGCTGTTTAAACGCGAGTTTATTTTTGCGCACAGGAAATTTTACTCGTTTACTCATCATCATAAAAAGCAATTTTCGTACTACGAATTAGGGATAAGATTTTTATCTGTATACATACAATAGTATACCTAATCTGTGATTTAATCGACTAATCATAAGAAACCATTTATGTAGAGCGGTGAATTTCCTACAAATATGAGTTGAGCGTATCATAATGATTTTTTGTTAACGAGTTATAAAATTCATAAGAAAAAAGAAAACTACCTTAAAATAATCAAATTTCAACCTTTAATAACTTTCGAACGGTGAGGTTTACAAAAAATTATAAGAAACCTTTTTTGTAGAGAATTTCCTACAAATATGTGAGACGAGACATTTTTTCCAAATAGAGTAGGTACCAAGATATGAATTTTTCTTTCCAATAATAAGGAAAAAATAGAAAACTGAAAGGCGGGGACCTTCCTATTAAAATTAAGAGCTCATACTTGGAGATAATTTTTTTGACGTGTCTATCAACCTTTTTTAAGAGTATAAAGTAAAAAAAAAATAGTCGATTTTTTTACCCACCCTAATATACAGGGAGTTCCAATATTCCGTGTACATAAAATAACTACTTACTTTTTTAATCGAAATACGTTAATTGGACAAAATTAGCTCTATAAAAAAGTGCTTCGTTTGTCCGTTAGAGGGCACCAATCAAAAATAAATCCAAACGTCAATTAATTTAAAATTTCTGATAAGCTTCATGTCAAATATCATTTCCGGTACTAACATTAATATTAAGTCAGCTTCGGAAAACCCCTTTGTTTTCTCAAAAGGTATGCACGGTGGGGTTTTTCTACAAGAGACAACAAATGTAAGTAAATACTAGATAGCCTATTTTACGAAAAAAATCAGTCGTCGGTGGAGTTGGAAAATATTGTTACTAAAATTTATGTAAGGGTGGTTGTAGTTTTCATCCTCCCCGTACTTTTTCTAGATTTTACATAGACGTCCAAAATTCTTCAAAATCTCATTCAAATCGGAATAACGGTTCTTAAAATATCTTAAAATATGTGTTTCATGCCCTCTAACGGACAAACTTTTGTACACGGTAGCGCCTCTCATACGCCGCGGAGGTTCCAAAAAGAACGACAATTTGTATTGTAATGAAATTTTGTGAGCATATGTAGGTTAATTTAGAGCACTTTTTAAAAATATAAATAGTTCTACAGGGTGTCTCCAAAAAAAGTTACATATGAAAGTTGTGTTTTTTGTAATGGAACACCCTATCCTATATATTAATTGATTTTTAGATTTTGGGAGAAAAATAAAGGTGAGTTTTATAAGAAAGTATATGACTAAAACGTAAGGTTTTTGATATATTTAACATTTTCTAGAAATAAAGAACAATTTTTAAATTACAATAAAAGCTACCTAAATTGGAATTTACTCGGTATAGCCTAATATGTAGTTAAATTAACAAGTGAGTTAGTGAGCCAAAATTAGTATTGAACATTGGCCACATTTAAAATCATGTTACTCTCTTATTTTAAATGGAACACCCAGTATATAAATCCGATATTCAATGGAGAATGCATGTCTCTTCAAAATACTATTAAGGTTGCCTACCCCTCAAACAATGATTTTCCTAGATATTTTCATTTACATGATTTGATCTGAGTAGATCTTTATTATTTGATTAAATCTAGGTGGCTGTGATATGTCTGACGTTACTTCAACATAGCTGTCTAATTAGTCCAACTTTAACAACTAGTTATCATTTTGTGTCAGTTAAAATAAAACAAAATTCTCAAAAATTTGCCGACAATGCAAACTTACCCTACATCAGAAAGAATTGACATGATTCACTTGAATACTTAAATGCTCCTGATTTTATCTAGTCTAGATTTTTTTTTATGGGGATATGAAAGTGTCGACAACATGAGAGAAATTATTCTCCTACATATGCTTTTTAAATTGAAAAGATCCTTTTGAAAAGACAATCATTTTATGCAGTTAATAGGAAAGGAAGTATTTTGAGCATTTGATTTCATCTAGCTAATTTTTGTGGCATAATTATAGGTTTATATATATATATATATATATATATATATATATATATATATATATATATATATATATATATATATATATATATATATATATATATATATATATATATATATATATTCAAACAGGTGTCTTGGGGATGCAGTCTAATAAGAAGGCCGTTAGTTCAAGGAAAAACCCTTTATTGTTTAGTCAAGCTTTCGAGAATTCAATAAATGTACAATAAAGGGTTTTTCCTTGAACTAACGGCCTTCTTATTAGACTGCATCCCCAAGACACCTGTTTGAATATTTTTCTCAACTAGTCAGTCGCGTAGACTACCCATCTCTTTATTATATATATATATATATATATATATATATATATATATATATATATATATATATATATATATATATATATATATATATATATATAATATAGGATTTGGTTTAAGTATTTAATACTCATTTCCAACTACAGCCTATTGCTGCCTTCCCGTTACCCTACGCCACACATCTCGATTTAGAGCGTCATCAGCTTCTAGGTTACGAGCTTCCATTGCTTCCGTAACCGTTCCGTTCCAGGATTTTCTAGGTCTACCTCTCTTTCTTCTGCCCTGGGGAGCCCATTGAAAAACTCTTTTTGGCCACCTGTTCTCCGGCATACGCAGAACATGTCCAAACCATTTTAAGCTGGATTTGATATAACCTGACCTCGATGTTTGTCTTTTTTTCCATCCTAGATATACCTGCACTTCTTCTAAGGTAGTCCATTTCAACAACTTGGATTTTGCGCTTCGCGTCTGCACTCAGAGTCCATAGCTCTGAACCATAGCAAAGAACTGACTCCACCAATGTTCTTCCAAGTCTCTTTTTAGTTGTTGCAGATAAGTTTCGGTCCCACCAGAGGCTGTTAAGACATCCAATAACTTGTTTGCTCTTTCTGAATTCGGGTTTGTATTTCTTCTTTGCCCAAACCCTCGTTGTTGATAGTAGCACCCAGGTATTTAAATTTGTCTACTTGTTGAATCTGGACGTTATCATTAATGAAGACTTCAAAACGAGCGTTGGAATTGACAGCTAAGTATTCGGTCTTCTTTAGACTAACCTGAAGTCCCCATTTGTTGTATTCTTGATAAAGCCTCTTAGTCATGAACTCTAGATCGTATGAGTCCTGCGCAATCACGATCATGAACTCTAGATCGTATGAGTCCTGCGCAATCACGACCTGATCGTCTGCAAAGCTCAGGGTAAATAGTGTGTTGTCCCCAATGGGTATTCCCATACCTTGACATTTCGTCTTCCATTCCCTAAGTGCTACTTCGACGTAAGCGTTGAAGATCAGAGGAGATAAGCTGCATCCTTGTCGCAACCCTTTTGTGGTGTTAATTGGATTAGATAGCCTGTGTCCTATCTTAACGTACGATTCATTTTCTTTATATAGCTCTTTTATTATATTAAGCAAAGGTCTATCTACTTCTAAGATATTCAAGACTTCCCATATCTTGCTGCGGGGAATAGAGTCGTACGCTTTCTCCAAATCAATAAATGCTAGATGGACTTCTTGATCTACTGCTATCTTTTTTCCATCACCTGCTGCAGGACAAAAGGTTATCTGTGCAAGATTTCCCCGGTGTGAATCCGCTTTGATCTTCCGAGATTTTGTCACCAATACTGTCCCTGAGCCTACCCTGTAGCACTTTCCAAAAGTCTGCTGACCGAACTGTTAATGCTTAGGCCTCTATAACAAGTGGGGTCTTACGATTTCCCTTTTTAAAGATGGACATTATGTGAGCCACTCGCCATTCTCGGGGTAGTTTACTTTGCAGGCAGCACTGGTTAAATAGATCTGCCAGACGCCAGCGCAGTCTTTGGGTTCCACACTTTAACAATTCCGCTACAATATTACCAGGACCTGGTGACCGCCCATTTTTCATTCGATTGAGATCTTGATGGACTTCTCTTTCGCTTATCATTAAAGTGCCTGCAAGGTTGATCTCATCTTCTACTGCTTGAAATTCTGGTCGGTTTTCTGTCAGTAATTCTGCATAGTAGTTGCGCCATTTTTCTATATCCATTCTATTCAAGAGCTTGTCCATTTGATTGGTTTTCATTTGTCGGATTGTTCTCCATACCTCAGTACTCCGTGCGCCCCCTATTAGACTTTCCACTTGCTGACACCTTCTTTCCCAAATATCTGTTTTTCCTACCTTAATGGCGGCTCGTACCTCTCTATTTTTTTGCTTGTAATGACTCCAGTTAGTATCTGTTCGGTCTGAGAGCCATCTTTCATAGAATTTTTGTTTGTCATTGATTAAGGCCTTTATGCTGTCAGTTATCCAAGCTGGTTCATCTTTTTTTTTTCTGCATGTTCTGTTCACCTAAAACTTCGAAAGCTACTTTTTAATTAGGGTTTTAGGTTGGTATACTCTAGTTCTACATCGTTACAGGCTTTCACTTCCTCTAGGGCTACATCTAATCTTCTCTGGTATAACCATTTAAGGGCTACTGATACCGTGTTGTAAAAATAAGGTAATTAAGGGCTTATTTTTTGGTATTTATTATAATTTTGCTAATATCTTCGGTTTGAGAGAAGATATCAAGATGCGGTTTTCGCTGACTTTTTAAGATTTTAGTACTCTTTACTGTCAGCTAAAATTACATATACTATTGCATTTAAATTTCTTGAAAAAACGCGCAATGTTTGTTAAATTGTAAGACAACGCCCCCTAGCGTCTACGTTCAAAGGCTTATTATTATTGTTTATATGGTACAATATAGAGCAAGAAACGCTCTTTTAAACGAGCCCTCGCTTGTTGGATTCCGATCATCCAGTCCAGAGTTATTAATATTCAAATAAAAACAGATCTAACCTTCCCCCACCACTTTATTTTGGTAGATAGGGGAAAATGGCTTTAACAAAAAATATTCAAAATTTACTGAAGATTATGAAGGTGTTACCTATAGTACACCTTATCTAGGCAAAATTGTGTAAAAATTCCATTTTCTTATTTTTTGTTGCAGTTGCGCCCCCTAGCGGTCGTTCTAAAAACTTGAAAATAATTTCCAGCAATTTCCCATAGCCTCTTTAGTTATAAATATTTTTTTTTCCGCAGCCGCTACGGCTAATACTTTCCGAAATACAGCCAAGAGCTATTCTTAGTGGGACACCCTGTACATAGACCAACTACTTATTTTTTGAATCGAAATGCGTCAATTGGAGAAAATTTGCCTCTATAAAAAAGTGCTTCGTTTGTTCGTTAGAGGGCACCAATCAAAATAAACCCGAACGTTAATTAATTTAAAATTTATGATAAACTTCATGTCAAATATCATTTGCGGTAAAATTAGTATTAAGTCAGCTTCGGAAAACCTTTTTTTTTCTCAAAAAGTATGCGCGGTGGTGTTTTCTACAAGAGCACAACAAATGTAAGTATATCCTAGAAAGACCATTTTACGAAAAAAAGTCGTCAGTGAAGAAAATATTTCTACTAAAATGTATGTAGGGATGGGGGTAGTTTTCACCCTTTCCGTACTTTTTCTTGATTTTTGTGAAAGTCAAATGTTAAAGCGCTCAGCAAAATATAGACGCCCAAAATCCTCCACAATCTCATTCAAATTGGTTCTTAAAATATCTTTAAAAATGTGTCTGATGCCCTCTAACGGACAAACGAAGCACTTTACGTACTAATTCTGTGTCCACGGAATATTGGAACACCCTGTACGAAATCCTTACCGTAACTGATGACTTTGGGGGCGGATATCTAGGAGGTGTCTTGTTCCTAGCCACGAAACTATCCGGAACATCGACGGCCATCTCTCGATGGGCCTGCCCATCGCTTCCCAGAGGCACCATAGAAACCATGTCTATATTATTTTTACTGTCCAGCAGATCGTCCAGCGATTTCTTGACCGAGTCCTGTAGTTCCGGATCTAGGATCACGATACTACTGCCCGAACGTCTTCGAGACCTGGAACAAGAGTACATATTTATGTATTAAATAAATAAAAGTAAACTATGGTATTAAATATGAAAATATGTAATCAATAAAGTAATGGTTCAAAATTATCTAAAAATTAATATAAGTAGTGTCATAAAGACCGCGTAGTATACAGGGTGTCCCAGGTTGAGCGTGCATTAGAAGTTTCTAGAGAACCACAATATCTAGATCCGAGATTTTTTGCACATCATTGTTTTACAACAAGATCTATCGATTAAAAATATTTTTAATATGGCGGCACTTCCGGAAATACCAGAAGTTGACGCCCCCATTTTTTATTACATACTTAAATTCTCTGTAAAATTCTATGAATATTGATGTTAAACACTCTATATCTAACATTAACCGTTTTTGAGAAAAAAAATATTCAAAATTTTTGGACGAAAAAAAATACCTGTCAAAAAAATTTGTATAGCCTAAAAGTCAAATTTAATGATTACTACAGCTGCTGTGACATAACGAGAGTACATGCAGCTATCTATTTCAAAAATTAAATTGTTCAAATGTCATATCATAATGGCGGTAGCTGTCATGGAATTGAGCGATTAAAAAGTTATTATTTTTTTTTCAAATGGAAACCCACTTTTTTATTTCACTAGTGAAAAGGTTTTACAATTCGTTATTTTTAACTATACATGTTCCAATACCAAAAATAGATCGTTTTTAAGATATTTAAGATTTAGTTTGAAAACGTACATTTTCCTTGATTTTTCTAGCTTGCTTTGACATTGTCAAAAAGTCAGAAAATTTATTTCCATCTGCCAGAAAACAAATTATTTCAATTTCCTATATTGTAATTACTGCACTTACTGCAGCTTAAAAGTTTAAAATGTGTATTTATAAAAATTTATATCTTGTATTTTCGCTAATGCATAAGTGATATCTAATAGTTGATATTATTAATAATTATTAATAAAATATAAGTACCGTATCAACCCTGAAAAAAAAACAACGCCAATTTGGCTTGCAAATGATGATCGATAACATTCTCCTTTTTGAACAAAGTGTCACAAGATGACATGGCCGATCCCTTGCCAGATCTATTGTTTTACATCATTTGACGTTTAAAGTCATAGGCTACTGGTTAATATCAAGAAAAATATACGCTTTAAAACTAAATTTTAAATAACTTAAAAACGATATATTTTGGGTATAAGAACATGTATAGTCAAAAAGTAACGAATTGGAAAGCCTTTTCAGTAGCGAAATAAAAAAAGTGGGTTTCCATTTGAAAAAAATGATTTATGATACTTTTTTAATCTCTCAATTCCATGACAGTTGCAGCCATTATTATATGACATTCAAACAAGTTAATTTTTGAAATAGATAGCCACATGTCTTCTCTTTATGACAAAGTGGCTGTGGTAAGCACTAAATTTGACGTTTAGGCTATACACATATGTTTGACAGGCAGTTTTTTTTCGTCCATAAATGTTAAATATTTTTTTCTCATAAACGGTTAATGTTAGGTATAGAGTGTTTAATATCAAAATTCATAAAATTTTACAGAGAATTTAAGTATGTGATAAAAAATGGGAGCACCCATTTTAAATAAGAAAGTTGCCGTCAACTTCCGGTATTTCCGGAAGTTCCTCCATATTGAAAATATTTTTAATCGATAGATCTCGTTGTGAAACAATAATGTACGAAAAATCTCCGGTGGTCTAGATATTGTGGTTCTCTAGAAACTTCTAATGCACGCTCAGCTTAGGACACTCTGTATACAGGGTGTTTCAAAAAACCAAAAATGTGCCAACTCTCGTGGCGAGATTCCCGACGCAAAAAAAAGATTTAATTTTCATTTCAACAAAGCTAGATCCGATTCTGCTTTGTTTCATAGCTACAAGGTGTAAAAGTCAGGTAATATTTTTTCGAATTATTATAATTTTCTTCTAAGTAATTTTAGCGTTTCCAGTGAAGTTTTGAGGGTAAAAGTTACTATAAATGCGATATATTTTAAAACTAAAAAAGTATCGATATATTCACCAGAGACGTGCATATGGGTTATCACTGGAATACTTTTCTAAAAAAGCATATACGCCACTGACATATTTAAAAGATATAATAATTTTCTTATTAGTAGGCCGCGATAGATAATAAAAAAATCAAAACGGTGTGTGTGTGTTTTCTAAAATATTCATGCACACACACACACATATTAAAATTTTATTTAAGACCAAAATTTTTTGAAAAAAAAGCAGTTTAATGCCGATTAAAAGTTGTCTCTTGATATTTTGTCGATTTCGGCCTCCTTGATTAGATAAACGCAATTTTATTAATTTGCCTTGATCCAAGTCTAATAGCAACTTTAAAAAAAATTTAATATCATTAACTTGCAAAAGTTTTAAATAAGTACTTATAAATTCCTCTTAAAAAAAATATGATAAAATTTCAAATAAACATGGGTATGGAAATGCATATGTTACAGGATGTTAAAACTTTTTAAAATTAGTTTTTTTGTAATTATCTTAAATTATATTATTTTTTATTTGAAATTGCTGTAGGTTGGACTAATAGTAATAATATTTAATAATAAATTAAGTAAAATATGCAATTTATTAATTTTATTTTTATTTTAATTTTATTAATTGTGATTAATAAAATTGCGTTTTATCTCATCAAGAAGGCCGAATTCGACAAAATATCAAGAGATAACTTTCAATTGACATTAAACGGCCTACACAATTTTGATATCAAAAGAAAAAGTCAGTGGCGCACATGTTTTTTTTAATATTCCAGTGATCACCCATATGCACATCGCTGATGAATTTATCGACACTTTTTAGCATTAAAATATGTAGCACTTATAGTAACTTTTACCCTCAAAATTTCATTCGAATCACTAAAAGTACTTGGAAGAAAATTATAATAAATCGATAGATTATTAAGACTTTAACACCCTGTAGCTACGAAGAACCAAAGCAGAATCGGACCTATGTTGATATGAAAAATAAATCTTATTTTTTACGTGAGGAATCTCCCTATGAGAGATGGTACATGTTTTTGAAACACCCTGTATATACTCTTTTGTATTCCATACCTAGCACCAAATTCCTTCGTTCTGAATAATAATAAGCATCTACCAGATTTATGACGTAAACTATTGTTAATAAGACGTTGTCTCGACAAAAGTAGAATTTCATTTTGTATATGTTATGTCCATTGATTTCAAATTCAAATTTCTAAATACTGGGACATCCACTGTCCTCTGTCCTGTAGCACGAAAAAGATTTTCCACTTAAAGACCACTTAAGATTTCCGAAACACTTGAAGATAGCTATAGGATATTGTACAAGACAAATGTGTAGAATTTTGTGAAGAATACCAAAACTTAAAAAGATTAATATACAGGGCGTTGCCTTTAAAATTAGAAAGTTAGTACGACACTCTATAAAAGGCATCAATTACATGTTTATTTGATTGTTTTAGGGCTCTTTTCTTGTCTGAATGTGTGAAATCTAATATACGTTTTGATTTGATTAGCTATAGTGGTCCATATTTGGGCATCTATTCCATATTTAGGTACCTACCTTAATGTTCAATTTGTTTTTTAGAAAATGTTATACTTTAAATTAATATATCTAACAAAAGACAGTTATTAAGTTATGTGCAGCTGTACGACTGATAATAACTAAGAATAAAAATTTTTGATTTACAATATCTTTTTTTATATAACACAAAAACTAAATGGTATTAAGCCGCAAAGACGCTTAACCATCTTGAGGACCTGCCGTCATTTTTCTAGACGTAAATACTTCCGTTTTACCTGGCACGCAAACGCGGTGTTGCCAGATTTGAAGGATTTCCTTCAATATGAAGGATTTTACAGTCAAATTTCGTCGATTGAAGGGCTGAAGGATTTTTATCTAAAAATTAGATAATATGAAGGTTTCTGGCAGTTTTGGACAATAAAAATTATTAGAATACCTATGTAGTAGAAGCATTTATGATTTTTTCCCAAATCTATTTTTTCGCTTTAACGGTGTTTAAGTCAGGATGCCTCAGTTTAAAGCAATGTTGCTGTCAAAAAGTCCGCAATTCAAAAAATTAATATAGATACATTTTTATCTTTCAACGCATCTTTTTACACACATACCGATATACCATAACTAAACCAAAGTTCTTGATGTTGAAAAGAAATAAATAGGTAAACGGAAAACATATCTAATCAGTCAGCTGATCATGGCGTCTTGCACGATTAGTTATTCTCGGTTTAAGCAGTCATTGTAAGCAATGCATTTTTTGAAACATACTTTAAAATACTGCTTTTGAGTATCTATCACAGCATTTTTGATCATCTTATTTTTTATATAAAAAGTTTATTTAAATACATCGGTGTCCAAATATTAAATACTAGCGTGTACTCGCGACTTCGTTCGCGTCGAATTAATCATTTGTAATGGTGATGATAAAGCAAAGCAAGAATTTCCATTAACATACAAACTGGATAAAATTTTCTCACATTTATGTCAGCATGAGAAAAAACAATCGAGAAACCCCTGCTTATCGAACCTCTACACCCCACACTCAATCCGTTTGCCAAAAATCAGCTTTAAACGTCAAGCAGTTTAAGCAGAATCGTGATTACATCAACGATCATATTTTATGAACCACCCAGTATAAATTTTTAAAAAATCTTAAAATATGTAAAACAACAAGATAAAATATACGCGTTTAAGAGTTTTTCCGAAAAACTCGCCGGTTTTTAAATAAAAATTTTCTAATATTTGAGGGGTGGTTTCACCCCCTTAGAATTCGAGTTTCGAAAAATCCCTTCTTATCGAACCTCTACACCCTAAAGTCAATCCGTTTTCTAAAAATCAGCTTTTTACGTCAAGCGCTTTAAGCATGATTAATCAATTACCAGATTTTTCGAAACACCCTGTATACATTTTTAAAATTTCTTAAAATATGTAAAAAACAAAATAAAATATACCTGTTTAAGCGTTTTTTCGGAAACTTGGCCGTTT